CTCGGGGTCTACCGGAGAGAAGAGGGCAAGAAACAGTAAATATAAAGCAGGCATAGCATCACAAAGCATAACATGGCAATAAGCTGTGCCGGGTGTGACCTAATGTAAGGCTACACGATATAGGAGAGGGGGAAAACCAACCGGGAATGTATTCCCGGTTCCGGACCTGTGTCAGACAAATGACCGGAGGGGGAATGTTCCATGTTCAGATAGTTAGAGGCATCTGACAGGTAAACGGACCGCGCATCCGGATTCGTTGGATTTTACTAAGCAACTTTCATGTAGAAAACATTTTCATCCGAGCTACGGTTTATTTTCTATGATTATTCAAAGTTTTAAACATATTCTGGATTTATTTATTTTAACAGAAATGGAAAATGACGTCAGCATGACGTAGGAGTGACATCAGCAGTCAACAGTCCGGTTGACTGGTCAAAACTGACACGGGGGACCCACCTGTCATTGACAGGGGGCTAACAATGGGTTATTTTAATTGAACAGGGGTTAGTTAGCAGTTGGCCCCCACATGTCAGTGACTAATTAGTCTAACAAGTTAATTTTACTTATAAAAACGTTTAATTAGCCTAATTATGGGTGTGGGCCCCATTAGTCAGTGGTTGGGGGAATAGCATCCCGCGTTGACCATGGTCAACGCGGTCAAACACAGGCGCAGGGGCCCACTGTCAGCGGCACTGGGCGGGACCCACCGCTGCCAGGTCAGCGTGGCGGCCGGAGCAACACCGGCGGCCATTTCCTGCGGCGGCGCGGCTCGGGATCCACCGGAAAATGGCCATAGGCCATCATTTTGGACGCGGATGGCCGCGTTCGAACGTGCACGAGACGGCGCATCCAGCGGTGGCACTAGCACGACCGGAGATGGACTAAAATGACGGCGGCGAGCAGCGAGGCGGACGCCGGAGATCGGGCGGCGACGGAAACAGAGCTAGAGGGCGCAGGGAGACGAGCTAGAGGCTCGGGCGGCACCAGGGAGACGCCCTGAGCACGCTCGTGTGCTCGGATGAGCATGACGACGCCCACAGCGACGACGGTGTGCTATGCGGCGGAGCTGAGCTCGGCCATGGCGGCGCGGTGGCTACGGGGGCGCACGAGTCCAGGGGAGCGAGGTAAGGGGAATAGGGGCTCACCGTGCGGCGCAAGAAAGGCCCGTGGTAGTTTAGGAGCAGCAGGAGTCTACGGTGTTCGTCGGGGAAGAAGGGGATCGCCGGCAACCCGAGGAAGACGACGACGTGGTCGGCAACGCAGAGCTCCTCGGCTCCTTCCAGCGGCTTCAGAAGATGCGGCAGTCCACGGCGATGCTGAGGAGCACGGCCAGGCCGCGTCGAAGGCACGGTGGCCGCGGAGATGACGAAGACGCGGCGGCGATGGCGCTCGGAGCAGATGGAGAGAGCTCGAGAGGGGATCTGGTGGGGAGAGGCAGAGGCAGAGAGGAGTGGGAGTGGCCGTAGGTGAGGGGAGGGGTACTCAAGGCGTCAGGGCGTGGAGGCCTTATCCTCCCCGCGGCGCCTGTAGCAGCGTGGCCGACGAGGTGGGTTCGGCGGCGACGGGCGCGCTGTAGCGACTCGGATCGTGGAACAGTGCGAGGGGGGAGACGACCGGGGAGGGGGAGTGGGCTGGCCAGCTGGAGTGGGCTGGCCCAGGTGGGTGTAGTCCAGGGAGGAGGGGGGTTGCCCTCTCTCTCTCTCCCTTTTCCTTTTCTGTTAGTTTTCCTTTTTATTTATTTTCAGCAGCTTATGCATTTTCCTTTTTACCAATAATGACTTTGCAAAATTATTCCACTGACCAAAACAATTTCAAAGAATTAAAGTGCACTGCTACAAAAAGGATGGGAGGCTTTTGGAATAGTTGCCAATTTTATAAATTAAAAAGGGCATTTAATTTATTGCTTTGGTCACTGTTTTAAGTAGTTTAGGCCACTTAAACCCTTTGCAAAAATGTTGGCTCACCACCAATATTAGTTGTGGAATATTTGGCACATGATGAACATTTCTGTTTTCATGTTTGATAAATTTTTAATTTCCCTCATAATTTGAATTTGAATTTGACTTTGATTGTTCATCAAGTGATAATTAGCTCAGTAAGCATGGTGACCTGGCACCATTAACAGGGGATTACTGTAGCATGACACTGAGGGTGTTACATCTTCGGAGTTGAAGTCATGCACGTCGGTTAAGTCATTGATAGTGGCTATTAGGTGGGTGGTGGGCGGGGAACGAATTTCTTCGTCGTCCGCCTCCCACTCGGGCCGGACATAGTTTGGCCAGGAATCTCTCGACAAGGAAAGAGACCTTAATGAGTTTAGCACATCTCCTAAAGGAGAGTTCTGAAAAATATCCGTGGCGGTGAATCCATGACGGGTGCCCAATCCGATTCGATAGGCACGTACGCACGCGGTTCGGATCCTGTAGCCGGAGACGAGTCTGTGGGTCCGATGACACCACCCTCACAGGAGGTGGGATCAGTGTTCGGCTCCGACGCCGATGAGTGTGCGACCTCCGTGACGGGGTTCATCCACCCGCCCTCGGAAGGTATGATCTACTCCGGATTGATTCCCGGCGCCACCGCAGGCGCGATCTCCCGAATACTGCCTGACAACAGATTAAAGTCAAGTCCTTCGTGACCGTTCGGCGCACCCGACATGGGCTCGAATCCGTCGAAGATCAAGTCTCCGCGGATGTCGGCAGTATAGTTTAAGCTTCCAAACCTGACCTGATGGCCAGGGGCGTAGCTATCGATCTGCTCCAGATGGCCAAGCGAGTTGGCCCACAGTACGAAGCTGCCGAATACGAAGATCTGTCCGGGAAGGAAAACCTCCCCCTAGACTGCATCCTTGAAGATGATCGAAGGAGCCATCAAGCCTTGCAGCGACGGCACAGTGGAACTCTCAATGAAAGCACCAATGTCGGTGTCAAAACCGGCGGATCTCGGGTAGGGGGTCCCGAACTGTGCGTCTAAGGCTAATGGTAACAGGAGGCAGGGGACACGATGTTTTACCCAGGTTCTGGCCCTCTCTATGGAGGTAATACCCTACTTCCTGCTTGATTGATCTTGATGATATGAGTATTACAAGAGTTGATCTACCACGAGATTGTAGAGGCTAAATCCTAAAAGCTAGCCTATGATTCTGATTGTTGTTGTCCTACGGACTAAACCCTCCGATTTATATAGACACCGGAGGGGGCTAGGGTTACACAGAGTCGGTTACAGAGAATGAAATCTACATATCTGAATATCCAAGCTTGCCTTCCACGCAAAAGAGAGTCCCATCCGGACACGGGAAGAAGTCTTCAATCTTGTATCTTCATAGTCCAACAGTCCGGCCAAAGTATATAGTCCGGCTGTCCGAGGACACCCTTAATTCAGGACTCCCTCAGAGGCCAAGATGAAGACCAGGAAGGCCTACACCATCACCAAGTCGGGGGAGAGCTGGATCGAGAACGGGGAAGGAAGGGACGTGATCACGTGAGAGAAGGAGGGGGCGGAGCCTGCAGCAGCTAGGTTAGCGGCGGCCGCAAACCCTAGCGTGGCGGCGGCTGGAAGAAGAGAAGAGAGATGGGAAGGTGGAGACGGGAAGGTAGGATACAGGCTTGGGCCTTGGGCTCATACGAGGGCAGCTACCAACGAATTACCGACTGAAAACCAGGTGCCAGGTGGTCCCAACAGCCGCAATTAACCACAAGGCTCCAATTCATGGGAGTTTAGTAAATGTACTGATGTAGACCCCTTGTGTTATTTGATACTACTGGAAAGGGTGTCAATTAACGCTTGTGATGCAAGTTTTCGGCGTCAGTTAACAACCTCTGCCTTCGGGGACCAAGCACACACGTATTGTATGAATCTAAGACAGCAGAGCGTATCGTCTACTGATAATTTTGTGATCTGACATGAACTGGTTGTACAGTTTGCACGCATGTGGTCCAACTGCATCGGATCGAGAGGGCAGCCGATATCACATTTGAGTTGATTCCCCCTGCGCCGCTCTGCATGTTCTCGATCTAGGTCTGTGCCTGGATTCTCCTGCTCAGCTGTCACCTAATCTTGTTTGCTCCTTTAAGAGTACTATCCAGCGATGGAGCGAGCGGCTGACAAATTGCGTCTCGTGGCAGGACCAAGGATACATAAAGCAGGAGCAGTGAAAGGTGACTTTCATTCAGATAAAGCGCATGCTACCATTATTTGTCATCGGGAGAAAGAGAACGAATCTCCATCTTGGTCAGGATTAAGGAATGATGGTGTGTCAACAGTTCTAGCAGGAAGGATGAGACGGACGAACTTGGAATAACGTGTGGGAGGAGGATATATTGGCCGGCCTAATATTCCCCCCACCCGATACGCCCAGTTTATACCATTCCATTTTGTTGGTGCCATATGCCATCCCCTTTCCTCTTCGAGTTTCCGAGTAAAAATGGCAGCAAGCTGGTTGGTTTGGCAAGGCAAGAATCTTGAAACAGGATGGGTGTGGTGTTCATCAAAGGATATGTGCTCATTTAATAGTACGTACCTTGTTATCTTTTGGTTTGCAAAACGTATTTTTTGTTGGTGTATCCTTATTACTAGTAATGCATTTGCGTTAGGCTTATTATTAATGGCATTTGCATTAGGCCAAACCTTAACGTCAGTCGATGAACCGAACTGACATTACCTCCTCAAGATCCCTTTTGGGTTGCCTGCACTTACCGGAAGGTTTGATCGTTTACACCATGCATGCGTCGAAACAGCCGTCGATTTGAATCGCCGAATGGGCATCCAGGCCATACGATGGTCCATCGATCCATCCATGGAAAAACAGCAGCACCTACCATTAACGGAGCGCATCTGCCACTGCCAGCACTGCCCGGACGCCTTCCACTTCCACCTACATATACCCGCCCTCTCCTTCACGCTTCCCACTCCTTGGCCGTCACAAGAACCTCCCCGGCCGGCGCGCCCGATCTTCCTCACCACCATTGCCCGTCCGCCGCCTCCTGGGCCGGAGGAGCGACATGAGGCGCCGCACGGTGATCGCCGCGACCATCGTGGCCCTGCTCCTGGTGGCATGCACCGCGGCGGCGGCGGCCGCCGCGCTGACGATCTCCAAGAAAAACCAGCACCGGCCGGCGTCGGAGTCGTCCGGCGGCTCGTGCGACATGTTCGCCGGGGCCTGGTTGGCGGACGAGTCGTACCCGCTCTACGACTCGGCGAGCTGCCCCTTCGTCCGCGGCGAGTTCGACTGCCGCCGGTTCAGCCGCCCCGACAAGCAGTATCTCAAGTACCGGTGGCAGCCCAGCCCGCCCTGCTCCCCGCCCAGGTTCGTAACTGTAATGGCGTCGCCGAAACGACGATTATCGTGAGATCGAATTGCGGCGTTGAGAACTTGAGATGATGGTGTTTGCGCGCAGGTTCGACGGGCTGGCGCTGCTGCGGATGTGGGGCGGCAAGAAGGTGATGTTCGTGGGCGACTCGCTGGCGCTGAACCAGTACGAGTCGCTGCTGTGCATGCTCCACGCGGCGGCGCCCGACGCCCGGGCCACCGTCTCGCCGCGCTCCGGGAGGATCGACCCGGCGACCACCGTCACGTTCGATGTACGTGCCGACGCATTCTTCCTTCCTTCTCTGCCCCGCTGTTCTTTCGTCGGTTTCCTTTCTTCCACGTAAGATCGTCCGGTAAAAAAGATGGCGGGTGGGGCTGGGGCCTGGGCGATACAGGCGGCCATGATGAGGTGATCAGCCCAGTGGGGTCTGCCGCCGCGTCGGGTGAAGTGGGAATGGAGGGCTGAGCTTCAAAGACCTACGGCGCGACGGGAGGGACAACTCCGGCGGCTGGACCGCACGCCACCGCATCAATTTCGTGCGCTGCGCTGCGCTGCATGGCCAGCGTGTCCGATGTCGACGAAGCCTCCCTTTGGGTCTCGCGATATACTACAAGTCAACAGGACTAGAAAACGGCAATGCCGGACGAATTTCGGGTTGCTTGCCGCACGTGCGTTTCTTTTCGTTCGTTCTCCTCTGTTTTTTCCCCTCCAGGCCAGATTATATTCTCTGTTTTCTGTTCTTTTCTTCCTTCTTTTTCCTCTGTTTTCTTGTCCTTTTTCTCTCGAGGCAAATTATTTTCACTGTTTATTAACTCTTGGATTAGAACAGAATCTGATAAAGAAAAGAAACAGAATCTCAACGAGCCGGGCATGGCAAGTGCCCCAAGTGAGCTGGCCTAAATGGGCTGTCTGCTCACTGCCGTGCGCTTGCCGGTGCTGCTGTTGCCGGGATGGTGCGATCTACTCCTATGACTTAACCCTATTTAGTTCAGATCTAGCTTGACATGCTCGTGGTGGGTGCTCCCCCCATTTCCATGATTCTATATTGAACTGCTACCACTGACTCTGTTCACTTGAGTCCGGTGGTTCCATCAGCTGTTCTTGTTGCTTGCCGTGTTGCTTGCTGCTACGCGTTTTTGCGTGTTTGTGTCAGACCGTCAGGACCAGAAAAATTGATCTCCCAGTGTACCTCGTTGGCCTTTTGCCGGTGGCCGGCTTCGACGAGTACAACATGATCTGGGCTCTGCGTTGGCGCCATTCAGCGCCGACGCATACAACGAGTCAAGGACACCCACGTGCAGTTCGGTGCTGATCGTGCTGCTGTTTTTATAGTACTACATTGTTAACTATAGGGTGGTGATTGATTGCCTCCTTCCTGCAAGGCCAAATGGGGCCATGAAAAGTTCTGCCCAGCTGTGCCGGACGGTGTTTGGGGGGTTTGATTGATGGCTGGGTGAAGCTGAGAGCTGACGAGGTGTGGTGCACGCAGGAGTACAACGTGACGCTGGTGTACTACCTGTCGCACTACCTGGTGGACATCGTGAGCGAGAAGGCCGGCCGCGTGCTCAAGCTCGACAAGATCGACGAAGGCCGCAACTGGCTCGGCGCCGACGTGCTCGTCTTCGACTCCTGGCACTGGTGGCCGCGCTCCGGCAAGGACCAGCCGTACGACCGGCCTCGTGTCATCTGCTTCTTTTTCAGGCAGGTTATTAATTATGACTCAACTCTGAACTCGCACGGTGTGTGTGTGTGTGTGTCGTTGCTGCAGCTGGGACTACATCCAGGAGGGCAGCCAGGTGGCCAAGGACATGGACCGGACGGCGGCCTTCACCAAGGCGCTCAACACCTGGGCCGGATGGGTGGACGCCAACCTCGTCCAGACCAGCGCCAAGGTCTTCTTCCAGGGCATCTCCCCCTCTCACTACAGGTAATCCAATCTGCCTCGCTACTCCACAATTTCCATGATTTTGCCAACTGAATCCTTCAAAGCAATATGCGGACTATGTAGCCGACATCTCTTGGCCCTCGACTGCTACCACTGAACCACCGAACCACAGCCACACCAACTTGTCCTGAAAATTTCACGTGCTCGTGTGTCGCATCCACATCTATCTATCAATTCTGTAATAAGGTCTCGATGTGGCTGCAATGGTTCAGGGGGCAAGAATGGGGCGCCTCGCCGAGGAAGTCGTGCGCGGGGGAGACGGAGCCGCTGAACAGCACCGGGGGGCCGTACCCCGGCGGGGCGATCCCGCAGCAGGCGGTGATCAGGAACGCCCTCGCCCGCATGGCCAAGCCGGTGTACCTGCTGGACTTCACCTACCTGTCGCAGCTGCGGAAGGACGCGCACCCGGGCAAGTACGGCGGCATGTTCGGCCAGGACTGCACCCACTGGTGCATCGCCGGCCTGCCGGACACCTGGAACATCCTCTTCTACGCCGCGCTCACCGGCCAAGATGCTTGAACTCGTTTGGATATGTATGTGCAGAATATATAGGTCAATAATCAAACCGTATTTGAAGATTTGAAGATAGCACATTGGTTGATAGGGTTGTGAAGATACTTTCTTCCTTTTACTGCAACAAAAGACATAGAGGATGATCACAGTTAAAGAAATAGATATACTAGCATGGTGTGAGTAGTCAAGGAGGGCATGATTGTTAAGTGATTTGTACTTATATAAAAATGTAGATTGTTTTGGCAAATCCCACATTTGGCTCTTCTTTCCAGATTTACAGCAGTTACGACAAGTTATCTAATATCCCTTATAATTAAATAGTTAAATGGTGACTCATTAGGTTTAAACTCATCTCTACTACTCTTCGTCATACAATGTAAGACGTTTTTGCAAGCTACTTCTTCCGTCCCATAATATAAGAACGCTTGGGAGGGAGGAAGTATATTTTTTTTTTGCGGGATGGGAGGGAGGAAGTATTTACATAAAAGATTATAAGCAACACAATAAATAAGGCACTTAGGGAGACCTCACACATGTCACTACATCTAACATAAACTAATCAGCAAGCGGTCATCTCACTCGTGTTTGGGAAGGGAAAGTATTTTATAAGTAAACGGTAGTACACACTAACAAAAGTACATGGCAGTACACCGGTTGGGAAGCTTGAAGAAGCGTTTGGTTTGATTTTTTTTAATTTTATTTGTGTTTTTTTCGGCTGGGTTACTGTCCAATTTTTCTTCTTTCTTTTTTTTTATTTTTATCTTTTCAATGCATGAACTTTATCAAATTCATGAAGTTTTAAATTCCGTGGATTTTTTAAATTTAAAATAGTTTTAAATTCATGAAGTTTTCTCAATTTCGTGATTTTTTTCAAAACATGTGAATTTTATTTCAAATCCATGAATTCATTTTCAAATGCACGAATATATTCAAGTCGATTTTTTTTGCGGGATGGGAGGGAGGAAGTATTTACATAAAAGATTATAAGCAACACAATAAATAAGGCACTTAGGGAGACCTCACACATGTCACTACATCTAACATAAACTAATCAGCAAGCGGTCATCTCACTCGTGTTTGGGAAGGGAAAGTATTTTATAAGTAAACGGTAGTACACACTAACAAAAGTACATGGCAGTACACCGGTTGGGAAGCTTGAAGAAGCGTTTGGTTTGATTTTTTTTAATTTTATTTGTGTTTTTTTCGGCTGGGTTACTGTCCAATTTTTATTTTTTTTATTTTTATCTTTTCAATGCATGAACTTTATCAAATTCATGAAGTTTTAAATTCCGTGGATTTTTTAAATTTAAAATAGTTTTAAATTCATGAAGTTTTCTCAATTTCGTGATTTTTTTCAAAACATGTGAATTTTATTTCAAATCCATGAATTCATTTTCAAATGCACGAATATATTCAAGTCGATTTTTTTTGCGGGATGGGAGGGAGGAAGTATTTGCATAAAAGATTATAAGCAACACAATAAATAAGGCACTTAGGGAGACCTCACACATGTCACTACATCTAACATAAACTAATCAGCAAGCGGTCATCTCACTCGTGTTTGGGAAGGGAAAGTATTTTATAAGTAAACGGTAGTACACACTAACAAAAGTACATGGCAGTACACCGGTTGGGAAGCTTGAAGAAGCGTTTGGTTTGATTTTTTTTAATTTTATTTGTGTTTTTTTCGGCTGGGTTACTGTCCAATTTTTCTTCTTTCTTTTTTTTTCATTTTTATCTTTTCAATGCATGAACTTTATCAAATTCATGAAGTTTTAAATTCCGTGGATTTTTTAAATTTAAAATAGTTTTAAATTCATGAAGTTTTCTCAATTTCGTGATTTTTTTCAAAACATGTGAATTTTATTTCAAATCCATGAATTCATTTTCAAATGCACGAATATATTCAAGTCGACGAACTTTTCCAAACCGGTGAACTTTTTTCCAAATTCATGACTTTTTTTCAAAATACGTGATATTTTGAATCTGTAAACATATTTTAAAAATTCTGAATGCTTTTAAAATCTGGCATTTTTAAAAATTCGTGACTATTTTTCAAGATTGATGAACTATTTTGATATTCTTGATTTTTTTTTGAAAAATGTGAACTTTTTCTTATTTGTGAACTGTTTTCATCCGTGAACATTTTCGAATTCGTGAACTTGTCTGATTTTGATATTTTGAATTCAGAAATTTTGCTCGCCGGAAGTCAATGGTTTACCTTTTTTTCTTTCCAAAAGTCAATAGTCAAATTGATTCACAACACGTCCTACTTTTTTCAGTATTCTTTTCCTATCGGTGAACTGATCAATGAAATAGGAACTGATCTAGCAAAAATGTATAAGAACAAAGAAATAACAGCCACCGAGTGGGTTGTTTAGATGTAGCCCACTAAGTCACATAGTGGGCGTGAGTTGGAGGAATTGACGCTGAAGGCGGCAAACAGGCGCTCTTGTTATTTAGCTGTAAAATAATTTCGTTCAATTTTCTAAAAAGAAAGTAATTTCGTTGCATGGACTAAATAAAATAATTTCATTGCAGTGCCATGGTGGCGTAATGTCCTTTTTTGCATCGATATTAATTCCATCTTTTTTTAGGCAAACTCGCAAGCTTTATTATAACGTCGCCACATTTACAAGAACGAATAAAAGATTACCGGGATGGCCTAACCAAGTATGCAGGCCAACCCCTAAAGAGAGTGCATGCTTGGCGAGATTGTATGCCTTGAATCCTAAATTCATGTCTAAATAAACAAGAAATTAAGGTACTAGTTCTACCTGTGATTTCATGTGCGATTCATCCATACGTCGCTACAGGGCGCTCCCTAATTACTTCAATTGCCACCTTGCAATCAGATTTTTTTTCAATTGCCACATTGCAATAAGATACCATTGAAATCTTGGTGATATATAAGTCATGTGCAACGCCAAGGCCCCCCTTGTCGCTAAGATTTCTATTTCGTTGAACATGCTAAGATTTCTATTTGTAATCAATATAATTAAACGACACCACCGAAGCTCCTTGGTACACCATCGATTGATCTCTACAAATAGCAGCTACAGCCCCGCTGCCCCCTGCCCTGGCCACCGCTGCATCAACATTGATTTTTGCATGACCATCCTCAGGTGGTAGCCAATGCCTTGGCCTTGTGGTCGACGAGGAAGCAGATCAGGTTGCTTCAGCTTCTGAAGAATTTATCGCGTCGAGATTTTTGGGACTAGATAAAAGGTTAATAGGTTTCGACGAACATTTCTTTACAATAAAACCGGAAAAAAAGACGAGCAGGAAGCACATTTTCTCCTCACTTTTTTCCATTTCTGAGAGGCATGGCTGTGCCTATCGCGAAAACAAATTTGTGCGTCCAGGCAAAGCAAATATGTGCCACTTGCTGAAGGAATTTTTTTTCTTTACGTGAGAGGCACAGTTATGCCTCTCGCGAGGAAAAAACGTATTTTTGAGCACAACTGTGCTTATTGCGGAAGCAAAACTGCGCCTCTATGTAAAGCACATTTGTGCATTTCGTCTCTTCCTAGAGGCACTATGCCTCTATATCGACATGCACAACTGTCCCTTTTGCGAAAGCAATCTATGATTCCACGAGAAGCAAATCTGTGCCTTTTGTGGAAGAAAAAAAATATTTTTGAGCACATGTTTTTTAAAAATTGTTCAAATCCTAGAAAAAATCGTGCAAAAACATAAAAGCGGAAAAAAACTTAAAAACTTCTAAATGCCGAAAAAGTGTGCAGATTTTTAAAAAAAAAATCCCGAGAGAGCACCCACAGGACACGTGATGGCGGCTGAGAGCTCAGACCACCAAAGTGACCCTTGAGGGGCTATCCCAAGGGGTACCTCTTTTTTAAAAAAAAATAGGATACCTCTTAGTTAGTTGCTCTGTAAGACGAAGTTGCCATTACCGTTTTCTCCACTGAAGAAGGCTAATTGTGCTTCTTCTTTTTTTGATGCGAGTAAGGCTAATTGTGCTTCGTGTGGGTACACAAGCAGTTTAGCATAAACTGCATCATGATAAGATTGTTCATATTCTCAAACAAAAAAGGAAAAAAAATAGTTTATTCATCACAAAACGATGAACAGAGCTGAACGGTGGGTAAAAGAAAACAGAACCATGCAGGCGTCGATATTCCCATAGACCGATAGACGACACGTTTGCTTACTGACGCATGGCCTTGAGAATAGGCGGGTGCCCGTAAGGGCCCCAGAGCCAACCGGCGGGGATGCGCTCATAGATTTTTTGTCGAAAGAGACTCTCTGCCCACTAAAATTAACAAAAGAGACCCCTTGCGGACGAAATTGACAAAAGAGACCCCCTCACAAGTGGCGGCAGGCGCGGCAGGCGACACGTGTCACCTGCCGCCACGCCATGAGGCGGCGGGCCCGGCCGCCACAACAGGAGGCGGCAGCCCGGTGTATTACGGTGTGTGCACAGGGCAGCACAGGCCAGCGTGCCGGGACGGAACGGGTCGCGCCTGGTGGGCCCGGCCGCCACCGGGTGAGGCGGCCGCCGCTGCCGCTGTCGCTACCCGGCCGACAAGGCCTGCTGCGTGCGGGCCCAGAAGGTGGGCCACGCCGCCACCAGCCGAGGCGGCCTGTCCTGTGCTGTTGCACCCGCGACAGTGCGCAGATGGCGCTGATTTTAAGACGCAACAGTGCGCAGACGGCGCTAATTTTAAGGCGCGACAGTGACGGCTGTGACTCCGACGCGCGGGAATATGGACGCTTTTGGTTCTTTCGCACGGGAATCAATCCTGCCTTTGCTTCTTTTGCCTCAGCGGATGCGATGGCACTGGGAATCCGAGGCTACGGGAAGCTGTTGTGCCGACACTACAGGGATCGTAAATATCCCCGCTTAATTTTCTCGCCATCATTTATCGTCTGAGCTTATAAAATGAGACACCGAGGCTCTCGTCTAGCCATCCTCGAAATCGGCAGTGCGCAAAGTGTGTAACACATTTTTTCAGTCGGTATGAGTTTGCCTTGCTCGGATCAAA